CAGCACCCTTGCCGTATTCCCCACCACCATTTCCACCACCACCATTGCTGTTCATGTTCCCACCACCGGAAGAGTTTGAGCCACCAGATTGCTCCTTGTTGTAACGACGTATCTCTCGCACAAGATCGTAGAAAGCTTCATCCACGTTAATCCTGGACTTGGCGGAGGTCTCGATGAAGCGACAGCTGAAATGGCGGGCGAGGTCACGGCCCTCTATAAGAATGTGGTGAGTGAACAGAAGCTAGAGAACCTAAGGAACTAGAGCTGACTACCTTGTCGGCTTACAGCGCGCTCCATGTCTAAATCGCACTTGTTTCCAACGACAATTACAGGAAAGTAATCTTTGTCCTTGACCCGAAGAATTTGCTGTTGAAAGGTGGCAATTTCCTCAAAACTTGTACGGCTGGTGATTGAGTACACAAGTAAAAAGCCTTCACCGGTGCGCATATACTGCTCTCTCATTGCGGAATATTCTTCCTGGCCAGCTGTATCCAAGACGTCGAGCAGTGCGACTTCATCATCGATCACACATTGTTTGCGGTAGGAGTCTAAATTTGTTAGCTGAATCAACTATCAAAATCGTCGGGGCTTAAGCCAATCCACGGGAAGGAAGAGAGCATGAGTCCGGGGATACCTTCAATGGTCGGATCATATTCATCGACGAAGTGACTCTGAATCAGTTGAATAGTCAAGCAGGACTTTCCGACACCTCCGCCACCCACCACCACCAGTTTATACTCTCGAAGAAATTGAGCCTGTACAAGCAAAAGCACAGATTGAGCTTCGTAAGCAAAAAGGACGGCATAAATATTCAGTAGAAAATCAACGATCCAAGGGGATATAAATGTTGAGACAGCGACATAGGGAGTTACGTACAGGAGGCATTGTCCGAGAATTTTTTCTTTTTTTTTTTTCAACCAATTCAACCAAGAAAAGAAAAACAAGAATTCAACGAGTTATCCGTTACACTCGTGCCGTCCGAAGGTGAAGACCAAGGTGCTTATATAGTGCAAGCCCTGTTCAGAATTGACTAATCGGGAGCGAGTCTAGGGTTATCGAAGGAGGTGTCAGCAGAAGGTTTCGGTGCAAGGCAAACGAACGCGCCTCAATTGCGGATAGAGGAAACGTTAGGTTAAGGCCGTTAAGCCCCCCTTACCTGCGCGTTGCAATGAGGGTATCCGAGAAGGAGAGGTTACCCTTTTTTTTTCTTCTTTTTTCTTGACGTGTTAACAGAGATCTTTCAGATGACTCTCGGTATAAAAAAGACTGCCCCGAATATAGAGAAAGAACGGGAAGGGAGTGGATGAGTACGGTTGGGTGTAGGCGAGCGAGGAGATGAAGTTTGCAGGAAAGACTCGGGTTATTCTTGAAGAAGGGGTGCGCTTAAGGTGGAAAGGAAAGACAAGGATCTCTTTGGCGGCTCGGTGCCCTTTCTTTTCTTTTTTAGCACAGAGGCACGGGACTGGGGCGCAGAACCGAAAAGCAACGGGTACAGGTGAGGCAGAGCACACAGCAAGCACGAGCAAGCAGGTAATAGCAGCAGGAATGGACGAGGGGGGTAGCTAGGTGAGAACTCGCCGAACACGAAGAAGAGCGTCGAGAAATAGTGGAAGGGTGAAGGAGGGGGGGATGGGAGACAAAAAAATGGGGGAGGGAGAAGAGAAGGGAGAGAGGTTGGGACGAGTCGCAACTGGGGAGGGTGTGATACCGGTAGTGAGCTTGTGGTGAGTGTTGAACAAGCAGACCAGGGCAGCCTGTGAGGAAAGGGAGAACAGGAGGAAAGGCGAGGGAGAAGGTGTCGAGGTGGGAGGAGAGGAAGGATCGGAAAACGGTGCCCTAACAGGGTTAGACAAAGTGCGTCCGGGGGGGAATTGAGCACACGAATGTGTGGGTGCAGGAAAGAGGTGGAGAGGAAATGTGGACACTAGCAAAAGCCCTCTGGAAGCTTATGTAATTCTACCTAAATGCTTGCGAAGGTTGGTAAATCAGATAAATTGGAGTAAATTGGTCTAGGTTGATATGATTTCGTCCCCCAGGAGTGGGAAACCCCCCAGTTGCTTTCAAACTGAGAGTTTCGTGAATGATCTCTCACCGTTCAGGCAGCACCTTAAAAGGTTGAACACAGCATAGCATTATTGTCTATTTTGGCACCATGTCAAGGTTTACCCATCCACGGTATTTACCATGCTGCTAATTCCCACAGGTTCACGGCCGGTGCGCTCGTTCGCACATAACGCAGGCGCAAAAGCATGCACAAAATATTGGTGTATCGGTAAACGACACTGTGCATCATTTGCCTGTGGAATCTCCTTGCCGGGTCTATTAGGATATGATACCCTCATTTTCTTAGTTCAATTGATAGGGGCTCGGGTTAGTGTCAATCTTTAGAGCTTCCCCACTCTACGATACTGCACTTGAGTACTGTACTCTACTAGTACATACTTCTCCCTACTCCTTCCTTGGGAAACAAATACCAATTAATTAACATAGGCATTAAGCATGCAATTTTCAATGTATACATGGCAGTCTGCTTGTGACTTTCTTACACTTCTTATCCGTTCGAAATCGAAGACTGTTGAATTCCAACTGCAGTGCAGCAGTGCATCGCATTCGATGTTCCCATTGGCTCGCCTCAGTGCTTACCTTTCCACTATTCAAGGATTGTCGAAAGATGCGGATGAACTGAACATAAGAGATGACCAATTAGTCTAGCTTCCCGGGTTGGTCGATTCTCCACTGGGAGGTAGACTGGCCTCAGCAGGCCCCGCTCGAGTACTGCTCGAGTAGGTACAAGTAGGCTACCCATACTCCACCTTCGATGGGAGCGATGGAGGACGACAAATCAGTAAAATCCATCTCCCTACCACGAAATGCGGATCGGTGACATCGGACTAACACGCGACTTGCGGGCGCCGGTGCCGCAATGTATAATGTATGGAACCAACGAGAATCCACTTGCCCACATTGACATATCATAGGGGACAGACACATACTCCAAGTATTCAAACCTTGTATTTCCCACTTCTAACCCTAGCACAATCTATTGGGAGGAATATGCAATCCTCGACATCCAAATCGAAGCAATTACCAACAGTTTTCCCCTATGCCAATCTACCGTGCTCGAATAGAAACCCAGTTCTCTTTTTCCCGTAAATTTGCTCATCGTTGTACGCTTACCATGCTCGAGGAAGTTGATTTTACTACGCAAGTCGCTGCTCACATGAGGGACTCTGCGGTACGCAGGCATCTTATGATTCGCGACAATTTATTCATCCCCTTTTAGCCCTCATGTAATGCGGGTAGCCCGAGGAAGCATGGCAGACATATGGCCCAGAAAATCGGGCGCCCTGTCCCACATTAGCTGCCTCCTGTCGATTTCTGGGCTCTCCCCAGGATGGAGGGGGCCTGAGGAGAACAGGAAAGGAAAAAAGGAAGGGAGCCGTTCTTTTTCTCGAAGCATCGTGGGGCCTTCCATGTATCCACGGGAAAAGGTGTGGTGGGCGACAAGCAGTTTTTGTCTGGTGGGGTTGGGGATCGGCTGTTATTGGGCAATTACCTGGGAATGGCAGTTTGGCTCTGGATTTTTGGGATGTGGTCCAAAAGCAAATATGGTCCAATTTGATAGTGCTGCATCTTCCAGTCTTCGATTGGGGCGCTTTCATGGTTTTGGGGAAGCGAACTGCTGTGGGAATTACCTCAATCCTATGAAAGCACAGAAGCGAATTCGCTTGTTGGACGCCCCGGCCGCGGTGGTGGGTTCATAGAGAAGAAGCCAAGAATAAGCAACAGCCATAATAATCTCGTATCAGAGGTGGAGAGAAGGAAAAAGAGCGCTATGAGATTTATGTGATATCGTACTCTTGTTGGAAAGTTATATAACGTAAATTTGTAAGAATTATTGTCCTTAACTGGGATAAGGTTGAACTCTTATCGACGTTCCCACAACTCGTTGCACTACAAGGTGGGGTTGCCGTGAGATGGGATACAGAGACCTGCGTAGGAAGGATACCGCAGCTAGCCCAGGGTGTGGTGGGGCTAGGGCAAACAATCCCATTGTTTATTGAGGCGGAATATCCCCCATGGGTTGCATGCTCCTGCTTGCGCCTCACTGCATTGGAGATACAATCCTCCTTCAGAGAACCCGCTTTACTTTTAACGTCCTGATACCTAACTATGGTACGTCCTATCAGCAATAAATAAATCTTGACTCGCTTACTGACCCGTAACTTGCAGTCCAAAAATGCAGAGGCACGAAGGGCAGGGGAGAACGCGAAGGAAGGAGATTATGGTAAGACTTTATTGAGCTATCTAACTTAATTATCCTCCATCAATATCACCGATCAATTGATATGTTCTTTAGCACCCCAAGAACTTCAGTACTAACGTGATCACCTAGGTTCTATTTTCTCGGTCTCTGGGTATGTGAAATGAGATGGTTTTTAGAAATAAAGCTACCCCGCAGTACATTTGCTCACAAGCTGGGCAAACAGGCCCGTCGTGGTGGCAGAGAACATGATAGGATGTGCTATGTACGAGCTGGTGGGTTTCCTTGATGGGGATACGATACTTGTGCTTCTACTAACGTCTTCGTCTCTAGGTCCGTGTTGGACATGATTTGCTGGTTGGGGAGGTCATTCGAATAGAAGCCGACAAAGCTACAATTCAGGTTTACGAGGAAACAGGTTCGGATGCCACAACGCTTCCAGTAATCTGACAGAAACTAAACATGGGGATATAGCTGGTGTAACTGTTGGAGATCCTGTCTTGCGTACCGGGAAGCCCCTCTCCGTGGAGCTTGGCCCTGGGTTGATGGAGACCATCTACGATGGGATTCAACGACCTCTAAAGACTATTAACGAGATTTCGAATAGTATCTACATTCCTCGCGGTATCTCAACGCCTGCCCTGGACCGTAAGAGGTCGTGGGACTTCAATCCTGGAGGTCTCAAGGTCGGGGATCACATCACCGGAGGAGATATCTACGGGAGTGTCTACGAAAACTCGCTTCTCGATGATCACAAAATCCTTCTACCCCCTCGTGCTCGGGGTACCATCACTCATATTTCTGAGAAGGGCTCCTACACCTTAGAGGATACGGTTCTCGAAATCGAGTTCGAGGGCAAGAAGCAGAACTTTACCATGATGCATACGTGGCCTGTGCGGGTCGCCAGACCGGTGTCTGAGAAACTTTCCGCAGATTACCCTCTATTGACTGGTCAGAGAGTGTTGGATGCCCTGTTCCCTTGCGTACAAGGTGGCACAACAGCTATTCCTGGAGCTTTCGGTTGCGGAAAAACTGTTATTTCTCAGTCTTTATCGAAATATTCTAACTCCGACTGTATTATCTACGTCGGATGTGGTGAGCGTGGTAACGAGATGGCTGAAGTCTTGATGGATTTCCCTGAGGTTGTAGCTATCTTGAAACTTGGGTCGGGGCCGGAGCTAATAGTTAATTATAGCTTTCTATTGAGATTAATGGTCGTAAAGAACCCATCATGAAGCGGACAACACTCGTTGCAAATACCTCCAATATGCCTGTCGCGGCGCGTGAAGCATCTATTTATACCGGAATTACGCTTGCGGAATACTTCCGTGACCAAGGAAAGGACGTTGCGATGATGGCCGACTCGTCTTCCCGCTGGGCCGAAGCCCTTCGTGAGATTTCTGGTCGTCTCGGGGAAATGCCGGCTGATCAAGGTTTTCCGGCTTACCTGGGTGCTAAATTGGCGAGTTTCTACGAACGTGCCGGAAAGGTCAAAGCTCTTGGTAGCCCAAATAGGAAGGGAAGTGTTAGTATTGTTGGTGCCGTATCTCCTCCTGGTGGTGATTTCTCTGATCCGGTTACTTCTGCCACCCTTGGTATTGGTATGATTAATTTATCCTCCAGTCTGTAATTTGAACGTGGAGAATCCCGACCCCTGACCTGAGCTCAATTTGTTTCATATAGTGCAAGTATTCTGGGGTCTCGATAAGAAACTTGCTCAACGCAAGCATTTCCCAAGTATCAACACATCCCTCAGCTACAGCAAATACACCAACGTCCTAGATGGCTACTACCAAAAGAATTTTTCCGACTTCCCTGTTTTTCGAGACCGGGTCAAACAACTGTAACCCCCCCTTTTCATCGCTTTTTTACTAGTTCCACAAGCCTAACGCCCCCCCCCCCCACCCCAGTCTTTCCGATAGCGAAGAGCTCGACCAAGTCGTCCAGCTAGTCGGAAAGTCCGCCCTCTCGGACCCTGACAAAATCACCCTAGATGTAAGCTCCTTGATCAAGGAAGATTTCCTCCAACAAAATGGATATTCCAAGCACGATCAATATTGTCCTGTATGGAAGACTCTTTGGATGATGAAGGCCATGATGGGCTTTTACGATGAGTCCCAGAAGGCGGTTCAGTCCGGTGTCAGCTGGGCCAAGATCAGGGAAGCGACGTCAGATATACAGCATCAGCTCCGGTCTATGAAGTTTGAGGTAACCCATCATTTTTATTTAGTAATCCTACCCATTGAGGAAACGAATGCTAATTAGAATATGCAGATCCCCGATGATGGCGAAGGGGTCATCGTAGGAAGGTACGAGAGGCTATACAATGACATGATGGAGAAGTTTGCCAGCGTTTCGGATGATTAGTCTTGCTAGATGATCCCTTTTCTGAAAAGATCGCTTTTGTATCTATCTACCCATCTATCTTGCCTTTCCTTGCTCCCCACTTAGCGCAGTCGGGTGTTTTGTTTGAAAGAGAAACCCTCAATCTTTCTTGTTTTGCTTGCTTGGTTTGTGCATGAATGAACGTTGAATCATCGTACGCAATATATAAAACGGAGAAGGGGCTTCCTCCCGAGCAGAATTGTATTGCAATCTACAGATTTGGGACTTGGGGCGATGTGGTTTGTGGCGTTGCACTATGTGCTGCGACGATTTTTGATAACGCAGTGGGCACAAGGCAAACTTGATCTCAGTATCATACCGTAGATCTTACTTGGGCTTCTAGGGCCGAGCACGACTTCACCCGGATCCAAACAAAGCAGCCAAGAATATTTGTTTTTTTGCAATCGTAAAATCGACAAAGTCGGTAGTAAACATAGACACGAAACCATTCAAAATTCACAATCTCTCGAAATAACGAACAAAACCGAGAGATTAAAGGAAAGGAGAACAAAAGGCAAAGGAATCTCTCTAGGCAGGCAACATCCTTCATGTCACAGAGGTATGCCTATCTAATACGAACACAAATGTACGGAACCTCCACATCCTCCCCAGTTTCATCGTCGGCGCAAATTTCAAGGATGAGGTTCTTGGTGTGAGCTGGGACAGGCTTCTTAGAGATTTCTTGCACAAGCTTGGTCAACCTATAAAATGCGTTAGTGTCGCTCTTGGGGTTACTTATTTAGATGCGGGAATATATGCTTACTTCATCGGAAGTCTGTCCTTGAGCTTCTTCTGGGGGAAGAAACTTCCATACAGCAGACTAACACCACAGCTAACCATAGAACAAGTCAAGCCTTTGCTAGCCATTACATCCAGCACCTCCTGTAGAGTAGCATCGTGATCGAAGTAGAATCTGTCCCAGATCTTGTCGATGGTGACCTCTCCTTCCTTAGATTGGTACTTGCCTTTCGGGCTAGCAATAGGCTCACTGAAAGCCGCGAAGGGAAGAGCAAGATTGACGAAACCGTTCTTGTAATCCTCAAGTTTATTTTTCCCGTCAATGACCTTGTAGAGCTCGAGGCATACAAGACCGGTAACCATGGAGGTTGTTGTTGCTAGAAATTCAGGTTCCATCGATTAGTACTATATGCTAGGACAAGAAACGAAACTTCTCACCGATGGCGGGAATAATTTTGCCAGCAATCCCCTTCGTAGTATGCTTATCGGCGGTAGGAATGCCGTAGTTGAGTGCCCTAAGGTTGGACGCAGCGGTAATGAGATCCATGTGGTGGTTCGAATCATCATCCTTCTCAAAATCCACCTTAACCAGCCTGTATCCAGCTAGGGCACTCGGAGGTGGCAAGCTTTCGATGATCCTCTGGATTTCACCCTCATCGTCGAAGCCTGTCTGGGTAGCATTTGGGTCAGGCTCTGCATCGCTTGCCTGAATCTTCACTCCCGAAGAAGGTGTAAATTCAGAAATAATCATATCCCCAATGACTTTGCGGTAGACCTCGTCAGTTGCGTTTCCCTTGATGCCATAATTGAAGGCATGGAGATTGGCCGCAGCCTTGACGAAGACCATGTGGGTATCGTTGTCGAGGCTGAAGGTTAATGGATCCGGAGCTCTCTTTGGACCACTCCAGAAGAGGGCACCCGAAGCCGTCGTGGAATCCTTGGGGAAGTTGTATAGAAGTTGTTGGATATTGTTATTATACTGCTTCTCAAACTCATGTCTAGCCCAAACAATACACTCTTCGAATGTGAGTGGCTTGTTGTAGACAAGATAATCACGAATGGTCTCCAGAATCTGTTTCTGGTTGCCTGCTTGCTTAAGAGTGGCCTCGAAGAAGTTTGGTTGTGAGAGATAGAGATTAACATTTTCAGCAGGCTGAACAAAGTACTGCTCAAAGAGCTCACGGGACCAGGCAATTGTATGCTCAATCTTATTGGGGAAACTTCTAACAGTGCACATGGGGAAGGATTGTTCTGGAGGATCGTGCGAGCTGGAATAGCTCTCCGTAAGTCCGGGCATGACAACTTGAGTGTTGCCCTTGGTTCCCAAAGTACCGCTCTCGAGAAGGGGCTTTCGGAAGAAAACACATCTGCGGTCGACGTACGTTCGTGCTTCAATATTGTCAAGGGCATTTGTCACACCATCTAAGGATTCCCAGAAGCCTTCGTCGAAAACATTCTCAGTGTCAGCCCCTACGCGATCTCTCAGAGTATTGATCTTTCCATTGAGGTCGGGATTCATCTTCTGAACGGCCGCCGCAGCACATTCGCTTTTTAGTCTGCCGACATCCTGTGATCTGAACAAGAACTGGCGATTGAGGTTGCTTTTCTCAATCGAATCCATATCAGTCACTGAGATTTTACCTTCAGGACCTGTAGCCAAGCCAATCATTGCCCAATTCTTTAACATCTCGCAACCAATGGCACCGGCACCAACAAGAAATTCCTTAACATTGGCAATCTTATCCTGGAAGTCCTTCCCAAAAACAGCAACCTGACCATCGTAGCGAGTGTTCAATGGTTGGACACTTTCCTCCGTGCGTGGCACTGAAGTCGGCAAGCTTTCAAGAGAATCAAAGTAGACATGCTGCACGATCGGGCTAAACTTCCCGGATAAACTCTTCACAACTTCTTGCGCTGCCCAACCTCCGATAACAGCGCACATCGGAGCAAGATCACCTCTCGCCTGATATGCCAGCTCCTTAATGAGCTTTTCGTCCAATTCAGGTTTCGACTCTCCAAGCGAATCTGCAATAGAGGTGGCATACTTGAGCACTTCTGCCGCATCCTCTTCATTCATTGGTCGTGGAAAGCCACCCTTTTCGCGGAACTGGTGGAGGGCCTGGAAACCAATGTGAAGCTGCAGAGGTCGTTCGAACTTTGCGAAATCAGTGATAAGAAGTTCGGGTTCTTTTAGTTGCTCTGCTTGTGATTTGAAGTTGATGATTCTTGGTTTTTTGACCTGAGTATAAAGACCGCCACGATCGTATGTCCCATGTGATGAAACCTCACCGATCGAGAATGTGTATGGTCCTGGGGGATCCCCGAAATGGTTAACGTTAGGTTTGAGTGAGAGGAGGAAGTTAAGTACCTTTAACTTCAACTTTGAATTCGGCTCCATTTAGTGATTCCATCCCTTGGACTTCACCGAATGTAACGTGGTCTCCATCCGCCAAACCATGCCTGGTCTCATCCAGCGCAGTGACAAGTCCAGAGCTATCGATTCCAGCAATAATGCCACCAACCGGATTCTCCCCAGTAGGATCGATGACTATAAAGCCCTCGCCAAAGTCACAGAATATGCTACCAAACAGCCCTCTAGTCTCCGCTGAAACATAAGGGATTTTGTTCTTATGACAATATTCATTGACCTTAAGTTGAGCGGAAAGAGGTATTCCAGCGACTACAACAGCCTTATATCTACCAAGGAGCTCGACATCGTCGAATGGGTTTGAGTGCAGGACAGATACAGGTGTATAGGTATTTAGCTCTCCGAGCAGAGGCGCAGAAACCTCATCAGACTGTTTACCAACATCTGATGCCTGGAAGAAATACTGGGAGGAGAGGTCTGAAATCTCGATACGGGAGGGGTCGTAAAGAGTAACGGATTTAACACCAGCCAAACAAATATTTTTCGCTAGAACTGGATTAATAATCTGGAATACCCGCTAAAATAGGTGCCGGGGAACGGTGACATAAATCTTACAGGAGAGAAGTAGGGCTTACCAATCTCGACACCTAGTCCCTTTAAGCCAATGATGAGGACATCCGATTGACTCATGCGTTTCATGGCCTCGTGCCCAAGAACATAGCTATCATGGAAACCAAAGTGAGCAGACAAACATCTGAGAAGTTGATGCCCCTAAGGATAGGGACAACTTACAGCTGACGACTGTAGAGCCCCTCGTCGATGGTGCCAGTAGCGGTATCGGCTGGCGAATCTAGCTGCATCTTTGAAGAGGTGTCCTGAGAACCCGGTGTTAGTTAACTATTGTCGTTTGAGTAAAAGAGTTCGACCAACCGGTATGATTTAACTTACCGTCATGATTTGTTTCTCAGGGCGAACCGATAATTCTGAGGAAAGTTTTCTTTTCGACAGCTTGTTGCAGTGAGGAAGGCAGGAGTCGGTGGATCAGTTAGCTCTGGTTTCTTGACGCGAATCTCCTTAAAGTTGCAGGTGTGATGGCAGTGGAGGTTTGGGTGAGAATGGACCAGGACAGTGATCTCGTTGAATAAGCTGTTTACTGCAGGGTGAAGTTTTCAAAAGTATGATAATTTTTTGGGTGAATATGGTTGATGGTTAATGGATGGTGGGTAGGAAGAGAGGGTTAAGGTGTTGGTGTTTCTCGGCAGTAGTCCACCGGTAGGCAGACGTTCGCTCGTTATGGCGGCCTAGGCGGGGCTAGCAAAATCGCCCCTCTACTCGTATATACCGACCCTACAACCCCGACACGCGCTGAGAACACAACAGACCGCGATTTCATGGTGGGATTATCCGCAAAGTTACAGGTGCTTATTGAGATTGCAAAAGAAAGAGTAATTATTATCAATGTTCAGTGACTGAAAAAGCACTAGGTGAAGTTTAATTCACTTGTTGAGCAAACGCCCATCGACCAAAAGCACTCTCAGATGAAATGATGCCCTACGGGGGACGCAGCCACGGACAAGGTTTTACATGGGGTAATGCCGTCAGATGAAGGGGCGAAATGAGTGAAGTGAAAAGATAAAAACTAAAACAGAGGTAGTATTAAAAGAACCGACCCATATCCAAACACGCCAAAACCCAAATCATAGAACATATCGTCGTTCTCACACCATTAAAAACCCCCATCTGCCCCAGCAGCGGTAGCTGAGATCAAACAGTAGCGGGGGAAAGAATTGAAATCTGAAACCCTCCAAAGGAATAAGAGATAAAAAGGCAAACATAAGCAGAAAAGAGATCAATTTTTCCCGAGTACCCACCACCCTTCATCTAATCTACAGTTTTGCTCCCCTATTCCTAATCATCTGTCTGGATCTTGTGATCGCCCTGAACGATGCTGGCGTAGCTAGGCGGTTCGCCAGATGGGATGTGCATGCTACTTCCTTCGCCCCCAAGGCCATTCATTGGTGTTTCTGGAGGAGTTTGTTGCTCGTGGCTGGTGTACCTCTCCGGTTGCCTATTTCCAGCGGGGGCAGGAGATGCAGGAACGGGCTGAATCACAGTATATTGTCGCTGCCTATTCTCAGCAGGTGCGGGCTTAGGGGGCCCGCCTCGGAAGGTGCTATACTGGGGATTTGGCTGTTGATACTGGGGACGTGACTGATGAGCGCAGGAATGAGCAGGATGTTGAGCGGGCGCGACTTGATGATAGTAGTAAGCAGTGCCTTGCGATTCATGAGCGAGCGGCGCGTAAGCGGTATCCCATGGGTCTGGGTATCTTGAAATGATGTACCAGGAGTGAATGAGACCGGGGAACTATAGTGGACTTGTCAGCAATTAAAGACTCGGCAGATAGTAGGCCCGAATCTTACCCATCCAAGGCAACACAACGCTAATGAGATAAGAGAGTCTGCTGAACAAATACCACGCTTGACCCAGACTAAACTCCAGGATGCGTCATCAGTACGGTGTCGGGAGAAACAACTTCAAACGACGGGATGGAATGTCATACCAGGAAGTGGAGGGAAGAGAACGGCCAAAACGGCCAAGAAACAATCAGAGGAACACATTATCTCCTTTAGAAAGGTATTTCTCTTCTTGTAATGATCTAGCCGGTGACTGGACTGTCGTCTACACTGACTCGGATGCAGACGATGGCGTGTTGGAGAGAGGAACAGTGTGTGAGAGATGTGGGGCTCTTTTGGAGATGGTCGGAGGAAGACTACCGGCGTTTTAGGAGAGTCAGAGGGATGAGGGGAGACGAGAAGTAAAATAGACGTGGCCAGTTGCGAGATGGGATTATTGTACCTGAGAGATACGAAGTTGAAGAGCAAAAGCGATGGTCTGAACAAGGGAAGGTAGAGTTGTCGTCAGCCGACTGTTGTGTTACCGAAATTCCCCCACTGGAAACGAGGCGGAGCATCGCGAGATACTATAATGTTATTAACTTACCTGTACAGTACATGCCGTATGATAATAATATCAATATTATTATTATGATATCATATTACTGTATGGCTCATCGAAGGGTTTTTGCCTTAACCTTTGCTGGACTTCGATAAGCTTCGTGAATTCCGAGGATTTACTATTATCGAGGTTAAGGGCAATAGGAAAAGCACGATATTGTGCTTGTTGCCCGGGGTTGAATGACATCTGGAGCATAAAATTCAGGAGAGATAAATCAATCAAATACGCATCAACCGTATTCAACGAGTGCAAGGGTAAGGGACCAATCAACGGGAGCCAGCAGGGATATAGTCAGCTTTTTAACCTAGAATAACTGTTCCACATTTTTTTAAACTTTTTCCATTTCGGGCTTTCTGTGGCCCAACCAAGCCTGCCTGCCCTATCTTCTACCACTACTGTACTCGTACAACTGTATTCTGTATTTCCCCCCTGTTTATATCATACGATACCTCTCCCGCAATCTGTTCCCTTGGAGCCTCCTGCAGAACCCTCGGGGGTTCAGGGGTGCTGTCTAGCGAATTACTAACGTGATACAAGGCTCAGAGAACCCAGCGGTTTCTCCTACGACACAAGTACCAACAAATACCACACCAACCTGTGAAGCTCGCTAAGAGGTCTAAAGAAAGTGTCGCGTAATAGACGAGCTCTTTTGATAGGATTTCCACAAATATTTACCGCAGGGCGTCGTTTTTGCGACTTGTTTTGTCGTTTACGCTATCATAAAGGAAACAACCAAGAAGGGTTTACCGTGCCGGTATCGTACTTTGGAGAACACTACCATGGAAAACAGGGGGGGTATCATACCTTTATTTGTAATACCATTCTTGGCAAAACATACTATCACAAGGTTTCACATTACGGAGGTCCAGCGTATAAGTTTTGTAGATTTTGCTAGCAGGGGTTTGCTGCCGGCAGGGGGGGCAAGTGCAATAAATCAGGTATAGTGGCTCGGCATACATGCCAAGGGCCTCGGGAAACAACTGAAATGGAAGTGATAGAGGTGTATTCTGTTTGAATGAAAATTTATCTAATATTTCGTGAAGAGGCCATTGGCCTCAATAACCGCCTGACACTGGGAAGGCATACTTTCGATCAGCTCTCTAAACTCATGCTGCCCAACCATCCTCCAAGCTTCCTTGACTGCATTCCATAATCAATCGTATGACATATTCTCAGGAAAATTATCTTGCAGATGATTCTTCATAATATGCCATACCTTCTTGATACGATTCAAGTTAGGGGAGAAAGGTGGCCAATAGATAATCTCAATCCCTCTCTCCTGAAGCTCAGCAGTAGTATTTCCTGCTGCATGTCCTGGGGCCCCATCCTATATAAGTTTTAAATAAATTTCATCGTGCCGATATAATTCCATATACCCATGAATTACTGGCACAGTACGTGTGGAGTAACTTTCTGAGTTTATAGACCTCCAATCCTTCTCCCAAAATATCCTAGAACCTTGCATATTACTGTGAAAACAACCTCAAAACATCTATCCCCGTTTTCTTTGATGCTTTTCTACTATACATGTTGGATCCCACTCCTGCTGTAACATGTTCGCAAGGTGCTAGTCATGTTATCGGTAAAGATACAATAGTTGGCAGGTGGTCTACTCTACCAGAGAGGAGGCGAGAGATGAAAACTAAAGGAGATTTCGAAGGTGTACTGAGGAACAAAGAAGTAACCATTCAACTAAGTATATTGAAATACTGTCTGTCAAAGTCTGCCTTTTCTATCGTAGAATCAGGCGGTCTTTAAATACACAAATCTTGTTCTTGTCTAGCATAAACAAAACTAATCAAAGGTATCAACCAATACACTTTGGTAAAACTAATTAAGTATCAAAGCGATACTTAAAACAAAACATAAAACAAAACCAAGTATCAAACGATACTTAAAACAAACCAAGTATCAAAGCGATACTTAAAACAAAACATAAAACAAAACCAATAACTGAGTACCCATACTGGTTATACCTCTCCAGCCCTCCTTGTAACCCAACTCCTTGTATGCCACCCACCCATAATCCATGTTTTATCCGTCTACAAGATGGAATTCCACTACTTACCGGTCTAGCCCACATGCTCCTCAGCCCATTGGAGTCTTATAATACGGGTTTGTTCTGTAATAGGTGGTTTTTGCATCACGAGGCATCGTTGGAACCCTTTCCTCATCAATGGTGCTTGAATAGCAGTTCTCCCAACTCCAAAATCTAGCTCCACTGCTAGCTGCTCATAAGAAAGGTGTCTGTTCCTTGCTGACAGGCAAATGTGGGTGACAAGATCCTTAACCTGTATTTCACTAAGCACTAGAGGCCGACCAGAATGCTTTTTGGGAGTCGCCGGGCATGCATTATTGGAAGAGCATGCATAGCCAATTTGGCGAAGAGAGAACTTGGTGTATTCCTGGATTCAAGCATATTTCCAGCCAATAGCACACAGCAGTTGACAATCTCGATGCTGATTGTGGATCAAATAGAACCTTTTCGGAGTTGGTGGGGGTGGGGGGGTTGCCGGCTCGGACATGTCTCTTTGTTTGTATATAGTTAAGGCTCCTTGCAGTGAACTTGCTAATAAATGTTCCTGACCCCAAGGATTTTCTCTGTGTTTGCTCAGCGTTTACTTGAATAGAAGGAGTTGTGAAAAATCTTTACTCACACAAGCAGCCAAGCCACCATACCAGATTTGCTGCACTTATTCCAGCCTACAGTACATCCCTGCTAGCAAAATCTACAAAACTTATACGCTGTACCTCCGTACAACGAGCAACAAATTATTTACTCTAGCACTCAATTCCCCCACTCTTTTTGCCCTTCAAACAATGCATAAAAAAATCTAGAACTACTTGAGACCTGCTGATATTTCTCGGTCAATGGTATCCAGAAGGTTTTTTCGCCAAGAGCATGGTATTGAAAAGGTTCACCCCGGTACTTTGTGAGAAATCCTGACTCACACCTTATTGTAACCTCTTAGCGTGAAAGCGACCTTCACTGCTCGAGTACTCGGTAGATAGTGCGGAACCGGTGTTCTGAGGATACAAGTACCCGAGTACAGGGTCCGGCAAGAAGTTATTGAGCAGTTATTTGAGGTTCACCGGTCAAATTCATCCTCATCTGTTCCGGTTTATGGGTTCCTACCCTTGTACCTGGGAATATCTTTTCGCAGTTAATTTAGGTTAGCTTTCAAAATAATCCCTGTCTTGTATCATAACAAAACCTCGCCCTGGCACTTGTACTAGTACACTATCATAAAATCTCTTGAAATCTACCATCGCCCATCGGCATCGGATCGCGCCGATCAGAGACAAACACCCCTAAGAAGGAATAGTGCTTTCCAGACAGGATATAGAGGCTGAGCTTGTTGGATCCCATTAACTGGTATTCGCTATTTTGTCAACCTTCTCTGCTAAGCCTATCATGGTTAAGACAGTAATTTCTGATGTGAACCCTAGGTGATCTTCCAGAATAGGTTTAGAACCCCAATATTGGTGGGGTAGGTGGAGGGGCAACTGCCATCCATCTCATGTAAACTCAACGCCAAACAGAGAGCCACTCTATCGCTCCCACGATAATTCGTTTATCTACCGGACCTCGAATTTTCTACCTCATCTCTACTCACGATATACAATACACCTCAGGTCTATTCGCCACTTCTAGCTTTCATTCTGATCAACCCTCTCTATTCGTAGAGATTTTTATAGCTCAATTGCTTCTTAGCTGTTGCTAACCGCGTGGCCTATAATTTCACACTCGTGATCCGGCAGGATGTCACGTAAGTCGCTCCTACTGATTTCAGCTCCCATATCGTGTCACTTCCTCTCTCACCTTCTCTCTCTCTCCACGCCTACAAGATGTCTCACATCTTCACCCTCACTCTCTTCCACCTGTGATTGAAGCGTCACTAACTTTACAACTTTCCTCACAATTATTTCTCCTTTCAACTTTAAAGACTCAACTATCCCCAACCCAAACGATAAACCCTCCGATTCTAAGCCCGGAATAGTGTACTTTGAAATGAGCGAATTCGATATCCTTGGCCATTACTCTCGTCTCCTTGAGGAAGACCCTTCTAAGAGTATGCCTATCGCGGCAATCGAGTCTCTCTGTGCTCTCTGTGATGGTATTGAAGCCAATACCATTCACGAGCTCCTATCAACTATCCAACTGGGCTCAGACACTCTCAAGGAGTCAGTGCCGAATGCAATCTCCTTAACAGCTGGATGTGATCTATTTACAAAGTTTATTACACGCCATTCCCATGATGACCCTCGCGATTTTGACACGTTCAAGAGGAAACTCCAGTCGAACGGGCACTTGTTTGCCCAGCGTGCTCGCAAGGCTCGATCCATAGTTGCTGAGAATGGACTCAAGATGGTCATGAATAACCCAGTCATATTTGTCCATGGATACAGTCGGTGTATCATGGCTATTCTCCTCAACGCCAAGGAGAAGGGCAGGAAGTTTAAAGTTATCTGTACCGAGACACGCCCTAGCTGCCAGGGCCTGCGAACTGCGAAGGAGCTTAGGGCGGCTGGGGTCTCGGTCGCTGTGATTGACGATAATGCAGTCACATACGCCATGAACAAAGCCACTTTCGTCCTTGTCGGTGCCGAGGGAACGCTCGCCGATGCGAGTATTATCAATGTGGTATATATCGACCTCCTGTTTAGCTATATTTGCACTAGCAGTAGATCTAGTTCTAATAAAAAATTTCCTTATTTACGATAGATGGGGACTCAAAACGTTGCGCTCGCAGCAAGGAATATTGGCCGTCCATTCTATGTCGCTACGGAGACTCACAAATTTGTCGACATGTTCCCAGTGGACCAGTATATGATCCCGGTTAAGCAAAACGTGATTGTTTTCAACCCCGAGGGAGTTGAAGGCGCCATGTCCCAGGATGAGTTGACTTTTGTCGACTACGTTGATCCGAAATACATCACCAGTTTCGTCACCGAGACAGGTTTGATGTCTCCCACTATGGTTGGGGATAAGATCATCGCTACTAGGTTGGAAGGATAGTGGGCTTCTTTTAGATGATTGTACAATACCCTCGATTATTTACTTGACATAAATCTCTCGTTGCGATTAATGTCACGTTTTATCTACAAGGTGCTCTGGGGGCAGGCAAAGAATCTTCTGGCGTTTCACTTTCCTCCCTTCCAAGGGCATTTCCAATCTAGAGAACAACAAACAGCTCACGCCTAGTTTAAACGGTCTCGAAATTCTAGGTCTCCTTTCTATGTATGGCTTGCTCTTGCCCGGAGGCGTAGGATGAGGCGGCACAATGCACAGTTGATAATATAATATCATGGTTGTGTTTTTCCAGCACTGTATTTTTCTTTCTTCCCCCTTGCCCGGCATGCCGCCGTGCCCCCTCTTATTCTTTCCCTACAAGTAAGAATATAAGATAGACATCTTGGCTTCCTCCCCTCCTGTACGAACACTTGTATTTACGATTCCTCTTTTTCGCTCCTGCTCTGGTACCACCCGGACAAGAGGATGTTTGTCAACAGACGGTTATTAAGGAGCAAGTTCCTTTGATCATCGGTACTCACTCGATATGCGATTTTGGTCTCTTGGGTCACCCGTTTTTGGATAGACTTATGGCAGTCAACCACAATTCACCGAACAAGCCCCTCTCAGAAGCCATGGATAAAACATCGCACCATAGAACGCTTATCGATGTGCAGTGCCCAGCAGCCTCCGCCCCATCCTTGGCCCACTCCTTCTGAATCCTGCCTTGCTCCACCACTATTCCCCCCACCCCTTAATACAGTAAAGTTATCCTACTACGACCATTCCTCGAAACACGTTTTGAATCCGAATCGACGAACTGGCTCTGTCAGCGACGACGTGCCGAACCTCACTCCCCCTCCCCTCCCCGAAGTTTCGACCTCGAGAGGGTAAGGTAAGGTAGCAATAGGAAAGGGGGTGGGGTGGGGTTATATCCATCGTGCAAAGTAGCTAATATACGCATAGGCAGGAGTTTGGAAAAAATTCTCAAACTATTCTTGAGGTCGTGGTGGTACCGTACGAACCGTTCTGCACCTTCGAGGTCTTCCCTCCTGGAATCGGTTTTTTGTGTCGCTCTTAAGCTATGTAATACCTACCTATCATATGTGTACTGTACCATGGGTCCGGTGGGTGCATAACTGCATATATCCTTCCCCGCTCAGCAAGATGGATGCATGTCATCGGTAAATTGAGGCGTGTGAGCTCCCCGCGAGTTTGTCGGGGGGGGCTGTGGGGTCTCTGGGGCATGCTGACGCCCTCATTCGTGGCTCTTTTTTTATTATTTTTTCATCTTTCTAGTATTCCGGGTACTGCAATTTCTGGTCAATTATCTGTGATGTGCTCTCTTTGTATTCTTAATGGTAGTTGACGGACCGGCTACCTGCTACCTAAAGGGAAGTAAGGATAGGGAAATAGTGCACGTTTTGTGTGGTAGTGTAGTCATGAGTGGTGATGCGGTATTACTAGCGTATCATTGTAAAAAAAATACCCTTAGCGCTAGGGACAGGAGGGAAAAATGATGGAATCAAAAACAACTGACTAATCTCCTCGGCATTTTTATTAACCCCGGCTTGCGTGGAATCGTGCTTACTGCAAAAGATAGTATTGGCAACCTTTGCTGAGAAACGGAGGAGTTCAGGGTATTAATTGCTGGGAATCAAATTTTTCTACTTCGCAATCAAGTTCACCACTTCGCACTAAAATTCGAGTGAGATGTTTTTGGATTTGGATTGGTTCCCGGACAGACTATCGTAGGTGTATTACAAACAAGATATCATTGAGGGAAGAAGGGAAAAAGAAGCATAAGAAGTACCAACACCCCAGCAATTATCTCGTCGTAACCAAACTAGTCAAAATCATCGTCGCTGGCGTTGTCACCAGCTTTGTCGGGTGGATCGAGCTGGAGGTAGAAGGAGCATTGGACGGCCTGCTGAACCATTAATCAATGTAAAATGAGACAAAGGTGAGAGGGGATCGTACAGTAACGCTGTCGATCCAGAAAATTCCAGAGTTAAGTTTATGGACCTTAGCTTCGAGGTGCATTCCACTGAAACAGAATTGGAGCACTTCCAACTCAAGCCAAATTTCAAACTCAATGAGGTCGGTCTCGGGGTGCAATTCGTCGTCTGGAGTCCACGGCTTGACGAGGAGTCTACCAAGAGCTTTGAGTCCAGTTGCCTCGTACGGCTTTGCGGCAGGGTTGGTGTTCTCATCGGTATTGGTTTCGCTTCCTTCTGGCTCGTCCGCTTTCGCTTCATCTTTGCCCCTCTTCCTTTCAAGGTTGGGGAAGACGATACCAATGACTTCCAAACCCATGAACTCTGCCTTGGTAATTTTCACGTCGAGACCCATCTCCTTCTGCTCAGGGGTTCCACGGGCTTGGACACAGGCATTGAAGATATCGGTAGCCTCCCGAGTAGTCAAGCCGACGGGGGGGGTGAGAGTGTCCCAAGTCTGGGTCTCATCCTTCATGCCAGCGTAGTGACCGCCGAAAAGAGTCGAGCAAGCCATGTTGAAATTTCCTGGAAGACGATGGGAAGTGTGACGACAAAGAGCCAATTCCTTCTCAGCAAGGTCGCAGATCTGAATAGCCTCTTTGATACCATCCGCATGCTCGGGGGCCACGTTGTGGTACAAGACCTGCTCCGGATTAGAAGTTTCCTAGGTAAGCCAGGAGGGGGGAAGGGAGACGCCAAACTCACATAGTTGAGGAAATTACGAACAACCTGCGCAGCAAGTTCCAAGTGTGCGACTTCAATATAACCGAGAACGTAGGGGACTCTATGGGACAAGAACCCGCGGACAACAAATGGAAAGTCAACTTCCCACTCGTCGTCTTCGTCCAGGTTAGTCGAGACAAAATCCGTCGCTGCCATAGCTTCTAGCTGCTCTTTTTCCAAGTGGTCATTCTGCCTGTAGTCTAGGCCTCCGGAGAATTGCTTGGGGCCTGTAGAGATACCACCGAGAGTCAAGTAGGTAGTGAATATTTGGGAACGGAGAGTATCGAATTTACGCTTGGCCTTGTAGCGCTGAATGCATATCTCGATACGCCTAGACAGGGAGGTTAGCGGTAATTCACCTGCTAGAGCGGACCATAGAAAGTGTATATACTCAGAAAACGGCTTAGTCCTATACAATGTTAGTAGTTGTTTGTAAGACGAGACAGGGGTAAGCTACGGATGATAAAGCGACTGCTCTTCTAGAACTGCGTCAAGGGTCAATGGGCCTTCGACATGGTGCTCTACACTGTCGATCAGCTAAAGTTCTGACGTTAGGTACGATTGCTATGTCCCACCTTCAAATCCTGAAGGCCGAGGCTGTTTGATCCAATATTTCTTGTTAGTCAAATACACTAAAGAAATATAGGGAAAAAGCAAAAGAAAATTGGATGGGATGTAATACATTCTTTGGCTTATTCTTCTTTCTTTTCTTTTTCTTCTTAGGCGCCTGCTGGTCTTCAAGTTCACCTATCCTTACACCTTCAAGCTTAGGCACATCTTCGTCTTCGTATTCCTCACCGGCATTAACGATCTCGAGTTTCCCAATAGCTTCAGAAAGAGAAGCCTCAGCAGATTCGGACATTTTTATTTTTATTTTGTCTTTCCCGTGTCTCGTTGATGTTGCGTGGTCCGGGGTTGTATTCAGTTGGGTGAGCGTGGTTGTTGCCCCCTGGTAGTTGACGACCCCACTAAAGCTTTCTGCCAAAGTTTGGTGTTTGGAGGGGGAAGTAAGGAATTAGGGGAAACGAAGGTCGGAAATTTATCAAACACGCGTCGCCTGGGGCAATGTTGAGCGGGGAGGCGGTTGTCGCGACGGGTGGCCTAACATTTTTCTAGCATGCCCGCACACTCTCCATGCGGCTCTGGGCTGGCTGTCTGTTGGCTGGATCGTGAGTTTCTTTGATCTCTCTCACGGTAACTGTGCATTCTTCTCCAAAAATTGGGAATTTTGTCACTGGCTGGAAAATCACTTTGCACTGATTTATCTAGAAGTGCAAATAGCGGGTAAAAGAGTTAGGCCCATCATCTACAATTACATGAACAGGTATAAAGTAGTTTCGGATTTTGTAGGGGGGCCTTTTACAAAAAGGTACTCGTACGTAGTAACTAAATACCTCCTTCTTATAGATCTTACTTTCTTCACTGCTTTATAATTTTCCAGAACTCTGAGGTGTTTCCAATACTTTCCACAGGATTTGTAGTGCACTCAAAAGCTTTGGTAGATTCTCATAGGTATTGGGTGCTCCGGGAGTGAATGGGTGAAGATGGATGTTTCGATGGAAATAGTCACCGAAGGGAAGCTTTTGATCTGGTGTTTTGTGTCACAGACAGCCGGAGAGGTTTATAGTCTATCATCGTGGGTTGATTATTGTTGATAGACTACTCGTACAATAGTCCCACGATACGATACATGGCGGTATAATAGTGTCTATAAACCATGGGGGAATTAAACTTGATTTATCGTACTCCAGGTCATATTTCGTCCTATAATATCATGTGACTGATGCTTTGTCCATGTTCTCTACCCCTTCTATTTTTATAGGTTACTTCCTGGGTCCTCAAGGACAGTACCTCATGCTACCGTACCATACTTGTAAGTGCTGTTCCGCTCATGACCGGGGTCCACTTCCAGAAGACCAAATGTCTCTCCCAGATGAATGATATTAAACACGGGAATTTCCCAATCCGGGTCTAAAATACTGGTACAGTACAGTAATGACTAGAACCGCTGACACCTCAGACCCAAATGACCTTACGATGAGACCCCCATTTCCACACCTTTTGCTGTATCAGGGGCATTCGGTCTGGGAGGGAGAAACATTAATGCGAGCTCTTCGAGTTGAAGGACTTTGGTGTTTCCTTTTTTGCGTACAAATTTGGTAGATCCGCTCCTAGTACAGTATCATAATAATATTATTATATTTATCCTAGCTGAACCGATCCAGCATTCGCTAGCAAAACGCAATCCGAAACTTGGCACACGGAAAGCCCCTTTTAGACCCCGGGGCTTGTGCCTCTAATTATTACCCCACGAGGAGGGTTGTATGAGGTAAACATGAATCCTGTAGCCCCTTGGGTAGAGGCGCGGCCCCTCCCTCCGGGTGAATACCAATATAAAACTATTCCCATTCCCACTACTCTAGTATCCTTCAATCTTTGAGTCTCGATACCAAAGAAAAAACCCACGCTATCATACATATTATACTTCAAATACTCAAAACTCGCCAGATGGCAGCATCCGGACTCAAGGCTTCAGACCTCCAGGCGTTCAACTTTGCGGCGGCTGGACAGTAAGTTTGATTCAACCACCCTTTTTTTCTCTCTCTCTCAACTGTCTCCACCGACCCACTATCTAAACAAACAAACCACAAGCTTGGGCCTGTCGAGCTAACAATGGCCAGCGATGGTGTCCTCTCGGATGAATCCGGAGCACTGGTCATAAAACCCTGCACTGCCCGCGAAGTAGCCTTCTACACCTCCGCCTCCGAACACCCCAAGTTCCAAAAATGGATGCCAACCTTCTTTGGAACCCTTGAGCTCTCCGGCTCCGAGCCGGCCGCGGGACCCGTCACGAGTAACCGTAATACCTCCATCGTTTTGCAGAGCCTCACCTACGGTTTTTGTAAGCCTTGCGTCATGGACATCAAACTGGGAGCCCAGCTCTGGGACGACGAGGCACCGCAGGAGAAGCGTGATCGTCTGGACGCTGTTTCAAACGCCACCACCTCCAGCTCGCTCGGTCTGCGCATTGCCGGGATGAAGGTGTGGAAGGGCGAGGCTGCTGGCGGGTATAAAGTTTTCGACAAACACTACGGGCGCACGTTCACCGCGGAGAATTGCTCACAAGCCATCGAGGAGTACCTCTCCGCGGATATTAGTGAGGAGCAGAAGAAGTTGATCGTTGGGAGATTTTTGAGGAAGGTTACAGAAGTTCGCGAGATGCTTGAGGAACAGGAGAGCAGGATGTATTCTGCTTCTTTCCTCTTCGTGTATGAGGGCGACCGAGAGGTTCTTGGGACCGCATTGGAGGAGGAGGAGGAGAATGCCAAGAAGCCGCCGAAGGGTGAGGATGATGATAGCGAAGAAGATGAGAAGGCTAAGAAGGTTGAGGAACTCAAGTTGATTGACTTTGCCCATGCCAATTGGACTCCTGGCAAGGGACCCGACGAGAATGCTCTGCAGGGGGTTAGAAGTACTGAGAGGTTGCTGGCAGAGTTGGTCAAATGATTGCTGGGCCGTAGTAGTGTTTATACAGCACGCTTTAGATGAATTTACTCTTTGATTGTTCGGGTTATGGTCTCATGTTTGCTTGTGCTTTCTGACACGTCCCGCACGACGGTCTGAAAAGGACGTTGGAGTAAAGTCTGTTCCAACGTCGCGAGAATTTGGCAAGTCTCTGCAGCATGATTAGTCGGGATTTGTTTGCGGTGCCCATCTTCCGTGCGGGTACTCTCAGTGTGCGGCTCTGGAACAGACCGTAGCCCATGCAATCGCCCTTACACCCTCTCGCTTTCGCCCCAAGAACTGCAATAAATTTTGTAAGGGATGTGGCTCCTATCCGCGAATATTTGCACCCCTTATTTTCATTTGCCTCATTTTCTGCCAGTGGAGCTGTTTACTATATTCGGGATAGAATATCACTAGTTACACAATCCATCACTCGACTCTGAATATCTGATACCCGCATTCATCAACAGCTTCGAGATAAAATTTCCTTCTCAAATCTTTAAAATCAATTTCCCGGTAGTGGTGCGAGACTCAAGGTCCTAGGTAGTGGCCCCATGTTAGTCAAGCTTCATTGTAAGGTGAATGAATAATTACCTTTTGCGCCTGCGCGACCTCTTCAAGCGGGTAGGTCTTGTGGACATTGACCTTAACCTTGCCTTCAACGATCCAATCGAAAACTTCCTTAGAATAAGCCTCGAATTCCCCTCTCTCGGCTACACACTATTAACAACTATCCATGTATCCTAGGGTGCTTCAGAGTGACTACCAACCGATATAGCCAAACAATTGTGGCCTCAGAAGCTTAAGGTTCTTGGGCGCTAGCCTTGCAATTGTGAATGGTGGAACAGCCCCACTAGCGTTCCCCAGAGAAACTACTGTCCCTTTCCTCCTCACAACTTCCAAGTCACCATCAAAAGTATCCTTCCCAACGCCATCAAACACAGCAGCAACCCCACCGCCAGCATCCTTGGTGATCTCCTTGACCTCGGCAACCCAGTCCTGGGTTGAGTAGTTGATCAAAAACTCCGCGCCATGCTCTTGAGCTATCGCAAGCTTCTGGTCACTGGAAGCAGTCGCAATAACATGTGCACCAATCACTCTCGCGATTTGAACAAGCCATAGGCCGAAGCCACCGGCTGCAGCGTGAATAAGGACATAGTCTCCTTTCTTGATTTCGTAGCTCTCACGGGCGAACGTCAGAGCGGTGATACCTTGAAGAATACCGGCTGCCGCAACGCCTTCCGGGATACCAGAGGGAACATGCGCGACATGGAGCGGATCGAGAGCGGTATATTCTTGCTGTGCGCCAACTCCTAAGTACGCTACCTTGTCGCCAACCTCGAAGTTCTGAACGGACTTTCCAACTGCAGCGATTGTACCCTCCGCTTCTCGTCCAAGGGTAAGCGGGAACGAAGATGTCGGATAGACACCCTTGCGGAAGTACTGCCCCATTGGTCAGTTTGTGGCATCACCACACCACACCCCTTGGAGTAAAGGCGAGAACAAGGAGAAAAGGACAAACAATATCGATAAAATTCAACCCAGCATACGTATTCTTGACCAAAACTTCATTATCCGTAGGGGTCGGCACGGGTGCATCTGTAACAATCTCGATCACATCTGGTCCCCCATGAGCATTAATTCGAACCGACCGCTGGGTTTTCGGAAGTGAAGACATTTCGTAGTTGAAATGCGAAAGGCTGCTAGGAAATGGCGTGTTTATGTGGGGCAACTGCAAAGTGTACAGTAGTTACTCGCAAGGGGACGTTTAAACAAGGCAGGTATCGTTGCTTATCAAGGATCAGATCTGGTGGTGGTGGTCGAATCATGAATTTGTAAGCTTTATTTCGCAACTACAAGCTAATAACTCAAGCACAAGTATGATCCCATAAATGCCCTTCCGGCTCGCTATCTCCGTCAGCCCGGTATGGGTTCAGCTTGGCAAGTTAACGGAATAGAATATACCAGTTAAGAAGATCCAACACTTCCTCCATGGTAACCTTATACGGTGACGCACTAAAGGAGGGGGTGTTGAGATAATCATGATTTGAGATCATGATTTGGAAATTTGAAACTTTCAATGGGTGTTCGGCAGAGGGCAATTTTCAAGTCATGATTTCAAATTGCTCCTACCTCAAATCACAGCAAGCCAAACAGGCCCTTCTAAAGAGCTTTTGTACCTGAACCCGAGCACTAGAGGGGTAGCGGAGATAAGCGAACGGCAAAGTGTTTTTCCGGTACGGGAGCAAGCCATCTTCCGTGAGAACATAAAATGTAGGAAATGGGTGTTGGAAAGGGTTCGATTAATCAACTAATTAACTATTCTTAGAATAATTCCGGTGCATCCTACGAGTATGATGCTCCGGATGCTAGTAACCAATCCTCTTTACATGTTTGGTTAGGTTACTATGATACGCAAAAATTTATGGCTCCATTTTTTCTGCGGAAATCCGCATATTTCAGCTGGGTATGGTGGTGATATCATAGAACAATCCCACATAGACCCAAAAGTTTTCTTCTGGTTAAAAAACCTCTATTTTAGCCCCAATAATCGTGGAGTTCCTCTATTCTAAACCCTATGTACTCACCAAATATCACTCATATTGTACAGGATGATGTCCTTGTGTCTCAACCAGAATTCCTGTTCCGGCTGTACCCCGTTTAACTATTTGATCTGAGAGAATACAGAAAGCGGCAGTGCAGGTCACTTACCGGAGGTTCAGCTCCAATTGGAGTTGTTGCTGGTTGTGGCCAAACTTTTCTTTGCCTATAGTCTTATATGGTTTCCGTGACCGACATTGAGGATTGACTTCCTGTGTCCGGAGCCATACTGGTATTATACCGGGTCTTATCCATGAGCTGCAATTTCATTTCTTGTATGATAGCAATTGCAATGGTACTTGTACCAGTACATTAGTTTCTGCTGTGAAGGAGAGCTTGGATGAGTACGGTACTGTAAGGTACCATCCCAGTATTAGTATTGGACCCTCACTACAATCAGAAAAAGGTACGAAAAAATCAAAACACACAGTTATTACTGGAACACTGCTCATGCGGAAATCCAGGCCATCCCCGGTCTACAGCCATTGGTTCCTTCATGCTTGCATCTCGCACACTACAAGAACAGACTAAGCTACCGACTCGCAATATATAGATAAGGAATACACGCTCAATCCTCGAGCAAGACATGGAGCCTTCTCGAAGCCTATAATACCCTTAATAGTATTCTTCTGGCATCTACACTTGTAAAACATGATTTATGGTACCCTGTTCGGCATGTACTAATAAAATAAAGATAGCGATACCTCTGACAACAGCATATTCCTATATGCTTGTGCAATCAAACCTTGAAGAAAAAAATAGTATGAGAACAAGATAGCAGGTACTCCTCCTCTGATTCTGTGTGGAGGAGGGGGCATCAAGAGGCCTAAACATTGAGGAGTAATGAGTTGGAAAGTTGCGATGTTGCAAAATATTTCACTCGTGATTCCACACTGCTTTACAACACTGCTATTTCCCCTACTCCTCAACCGGTAGACCTTATGTTGCTTGCTTCTCTGTATAGAATGATTAGAGGAGCATCTGCTACTAGTACTGTGCCGGACTGCCATAATGTATTAAGCGGAAAGCGTGAAGTCGCGTGATTTGGGCTATCACATATCAATGTGCTCACCATTTTCGTCACCAGCTTCATGCATGAGGGGCACAGCAAATACGGCAGTGCGAATAAAGTGCAAATATAAGGAACAGTTTGTTAAAAGGGTCATACGTTGGAACCGTGCTTACTTATGTGGCTTATGCTTTCATTGCAGTAAGATCAGAGAAGTGCATCATGGCTTTGCCAAGTAGATGTAGAGTTCGGGAGTGTAGGTACGGTTATAACCTTCGCTCTTTCCTACCCACGTCAATACCACCATTGCACTGAAATTCAGTACGAGGGGGGGGGAAGAAAGTAATGCGACACCCGTGCAACACAAATTCCTGTACGGAAACAATATCAACAACATATAGTACTACCATTTTCCACAACCACATTCAATAAATAAAATAAGTAAAGGAGATAAAATTAAAAAATGCTTAGTATTTTCTTAAAGTAAAATAAAAAGAAAATCATAAATCAATAATGAGTTTGGTGCCCTTTTCTTCTAATAACCTCTCTGACCTGCTTTGGCATACTTCTGCAAAGATCCATAAACCTTCCATCAGGAATAGCTTTCCATGCTTCCTCCACAGCTCTGATTAGCTCTTCCTTGCTTGCAACTCTTCCATACCTTTTCCACAAGTAAGTTTCCATATCTCCCCAAATATTTTCAATTAAGTTTAGGTCTGGTGACTGTGGTGGCCAGGGCAATATATCCATCCTATTCCTTTTTCTACACTTTGTAGAATATCTGTGATTAAACCAGTAGTTAGATTATATTCTTAAGTAAGTATTTCTATATCAAAAAACAGAAAATACAATAATTATAAGGAGGTAGAACCTACCCTTTATGCCCTGGTGCACCATCTTCAACAACCCTAGTCCAACCAAATCTCTCACAATACTCATGCCAGAAAGGAATTAAAACTGGATCCAGAATATACTTAGTATACTTATAAGAATCCACTTTAACCTTTCCTGATACTACTACTAGCTTTGACCTCAAATCCTCACAAAAGGCTCCCTATACCATAACTGTCTCCCTTCTTGACTCCCAGACCTCATCAATGCAATCCTGATCATATTTCTCAGAAGGTTCTCTTATCACCCATCCTCTCTGCCCAAGTTCAGCTGTAGAGAATGAGGTTTCATCAGTCCATATAATTCTGGACCAGTCTCTTAGTTTCCAAGCTCTTTTTCTCATACACCAACCAAATCTAATTGGTATATTTTTAGGGCGCAATCCCCATCTAAAATATCTTTTAGTTATGTAAACACTTGAATCTTCATTAAAGTACTTACTTCTTGCATAGTTTTCTTTTATTTAAATTAAAACTCTAGCTGCTTTCCTAATTGTTCTGGATGATGCCTTTAATCTCTTCTTTTCTTTAATATCCTCCCACGAGAGTCTTCTATTTCTTTTATTTTCTTTAATAAAAGACTTTAGATCAAGTAGATCAGACTCCTGGAAGATTGGAGGTCTTCCTGTTCACTGGTAGTTGAAAGGACTACCTGTTTCCCGATACTATTGATAGATGCGAGCACAGATACTATAGTGAACTTTAAGGCCTATTTTTTCCTCCAATTCGGCAACTATCTTTCTGAAAGACCACTCCGCTATTTCTCGGAGAGAAATAATACAGATCCAGTCATCATGTGTGGTTTCCTGCTCGAAGCGCTCTTGCTTCTTCGTCAACGATCACCGCTACTCAAGATTTTGTGGACTAATCGCTAAATTATTTAATTTTATTATTGTTTCAACTTTACGTACATATTCCTTTAATTAAACTACTTATGCTCACTTCTGCGGGTTCCCTTTACCCTCATAGTGCTTTTCTGAAATGGTTTGGCAGGTGGTGGTGAATATAGTGAGTATTGTAGTGATGGGGGTTGGGAGTAGAGTTGCGATCTTGTAGGAAGCGGTTGCTACTGTATCGTACTACTTCTTTCTCCCCCTTGTACTGTATGATAAATTGTGGGCAAACAAAAGTGCTTGTACTCATATGGGGGGGGAGATTTGCAGGACTCAGCAGCTTCACCCAACAGCCCAAGTCAGACTGGAAATACTTAATTAGACACTGCCCAACCTGACGCAAACTGGACCGGTACTTGCAGGTGCCTCTCCCCCCTTAGTCAGCCCCCCCAAGCCCCACACACCAGATGCCACAGAGTCCATCCAGTCCCCTCAGCCCCTCAGACAGATCAACCATCTGACAGCCACAGGACAGCCTATACCTAGCCTCATCAGGCAGCCATTGGTCTTGATCTATTAGGAATACCAGGATCCAATACCCAGGAGTCACTCTAAGTAGGGTAACCTTACCTAGAATTGGAATCTCTGGTCTCCAACACAGCCCTCCGGCCCCCTAACGGGGCCCGCATATTATCATACATATCAATCTCAGTTGCGTCCTGTGACTATAATACTACAGAATTAAAGGTGTCAGAATAATACCGTATATATTACTACCATCTGTCCAACCAGATCCTATTCACAGTATATATGCCAGAGGACCTTTGGCTAGGTCTGAGAAGTAAAATGGAGTGAATCCATCAACTACTCAGAAAGTTACTAGGCTTCAAAGATGTGATATCTTTGGCATGTGCAGTAAGTAACGGGACGTTTCTGTACAAAGAGATGGTATTGAATGGTAAAGGAACTTAGCAAGAAACCAATACATTCACACCCATCCTACAATATCTGGAAGAGTTTAGAACTCCGAGGAGCACTACCATAAAAGTTATTGGACTTTACGGAGTGTTGCAACTAGGTTTCGGAACACGTTATAGTTATAAGGATAACTTTTAATACTACAATAGTGATTGAAATCCTGTTACCCAGAGCAACAAAGGGTTACTGACCTAGGGAATATTTGTCAATCAGGTGGAATAGCTTTCTGCAAATTAGTAGGAAGTCCTCCGAAAGACATCTATCGGTTAGGTAAGGAGTTATGGAGGTTTAAAGTCAGGTAATTAAAAAAATTTGTGATGACGACTACCTTCGCAGATGCAATCTGCAGATGAAATTGATCATTTTATCAATAATGGAGACAATTGGAACCAACTCAGTTCAACTTGAAAACTAGGCTACAAGGCTAAAGACTCTAAAGATCAGATAACTACTATTGGAAACAGTATGGTTCCGGGTT